ATCCAATTATCATATTAAAACAGCAATCATTTAAAGCATTTTTAAAAGAGGGAGATGGTGTGGCGTAGTGGTTGGAGCATTGGACCACAACTCCGGAGACCAGGGTTTGAGTCCCTGCTCAGCTATGGTAACCCACTGGGTGACCATGGGTAGGTCACATACTCTCAGCCCCATGTTAGGTTGCCATAAGTCCGAAGCGACTCATTTTAAGAACATAATAAGGAGACAACTAGGCTTGCGGATCTCAGGGCTCTGAGTTTCCAGTTTGCGTGGATCATCTCCAGGTAGGAAGTGTGGATGCAAGTTCTCCAGTTTTGGGGGACTCAGCCCCAGACAAGAAGGAAGAGGCAAATCTCCAACTCAGTTTGTTGAGCAGCAGCTTCTTACAATTTCCAAGGATTCATTGATTTGTTGCTGCAACTTGCAAGGAATTTCTATGTACAGTCAGCCCTCTTTATCCACGGATTCAAGCATCCATGGCTTGAAAATACGAATACATATATGCATATATATAAATTCCAAATAGCAAAGCTATTTTGCTATCCGTTGTATTTAATGGGACTTGAACATCCATGGATTTAACATGGATTTTAAATATTCTTTATCCAATCTCCCTAGACATGGCGGAAGTGGCAAAGTATATTGCAATCCTGATTCAACAAGCAGATATGCATTTCATGCCAAAAATAGGGGAGGTGTATACAGTTTGCATCTTTCTGTATTTCCTCAAGCTGGTATAGACTTTGCTGAAATTTAAAGGTATTTCTTTGACACAGGCATCCCATCTTCCTCTCCAGCCAAAAATAACCCAAAAAACTTCATGAATAAAAAGCTCTGCCTGCCATTGATTCAGATTTTAGGTCAGACGTCCACAAGCCTGAGTCATTCCCTCTGCTTTAATAAGTCTATTTAATTAAATAATTTTGTGACAAAAGGAAGGGATATGAGCGAGACGCTGGCTCAAGGCAAGAAAACTGAACTTTCTAGCTGCTCCTTGGCTTGTCTCTATCAAGCGTTTTATCTTCTTCTTGTTGTGCACCTTCAAATTGTCTCTGACTTCATGACATCCTGAAGGCAAACCTATCACTAGCTTTTCTTGGCAAGATTTGTTCAGAGTAGGTTTTGCCACGGCCTTCCTCTGAGGCTGAGAGAGTGTGACTTGCCCAAGGTCCCCCAGTGGGGTTCTGTGGGTGAGCGGGGATTCGAGCCCTGGTCTACCAGAGCCCTAGGGCGCATCGATATATATTATTGGAATAGTTTAAAATGTTTTATTCTTTACAAACACTTACCGTACAAACATTTGAAACTATTCCAATCATCGACAATACTTAAAATGCAAGAAGCTACCATTCCAAGAGTTCTATTGGCAGTTAAAGTGGTGCCAAACTGGATTATTTCTGCAGTGCGGATGCAATGTGGTGCCAAACTGGATTATTTCTGCAGTGCGGATGCAATGCAATGCAATGATCTCTCCCAGCTCCGATCAGAGTTAGAGAAGGGCTAAGGAGCATCCAGAGCGATGGGGACAGAGGGACGATTGTCACACAGCCGTTCCCAGCTGCAGCATCACAAAAATAGCTCTGTGTGTGTATGTGTATCTGTGCTTTCTTTTGCACGTGCAACACAAAAAAAGGCCGAGGGTGCTTTGCTGTTGGGGACAGAGGCTTCACTTTGCAAGAATTGGGTCTCTGGGTTGCACCCGCAAGTCCCAGCCTCACAGAATCAGTAGGACAGAGCCCCATTTGGCCTCTGTCCTCTTTTTCCAGGAGGGAAGCATTGGCCTAGATAACCACTGATCCATGGCAGATAGATGCCCAGACTCTGCTCTCCGAATGTCTGCAATGCTCTCTCTCTCTCTCTCTCTCTTTCTCTCATGGGAAAAGGCCAACTGGAGGGTGGTAGCTCTTTGGGGTCGCAAAGTGAGGGTATGCACCCCAAATAAAACTGTCCTTTGTTCCCCAAATTTGGAGCATTAGAGAGAGTCAGGAAATAATCTGGAAGACGCTGCTGCCTCGGAGGGTGGTGGAGCCTCCTCTTCTGGAGGTTTTTAAGCAGAAGCTGGATGGGCCTCTGTCCCAGTTCTGGGCTTGGATGCTGTCTTCCTTTATGGCAGGAAAGAGTTGGGCTGGACGGCCCTTGGGGGTCCCTTCCAACTCTAGGGTTCTCTGTATTCCTGCGTAGAACCATAGAATAGAATCCAAGAGTTGGAAGAGACCTCAAAGGCCATCCAGTCCAACCCTGTTTTGCCATGCAGGAACTCACAACCAAAGCACTCTCTATGACAACGGCCATCCAGCTTCTGTTTAAAGGCCTCCAAAGAAGGAGACTCCAACACTTTCCAAACCAGCGTCTTCCACTCTTATTGTCAGGACGTTCTTCCTAATGTCGAGCTGGAATTGCTTTTCCTGGAGCTTGCATCCATTGCATCCATCCAGAAACCAAGCTTGCTCCATCCTCAAGCTTGACAGAGCAAGGGAACAAGATGAACTTGAACTCTTAACACACAAAGGCAAATATGATTTAATGTTGAGGTGGAATCTCTTTTCCTCTAGTTTGCATCCATTGTTCCGGATCCTAGTCTCTATAGCAGCAGAAACCAAGCTTGCTCCATCCTCAATAGGACACTCCTTCA